GGGCATCCGCAGTGCGTCGTCGTCGTCGTCGACGAAGAGAGCGCCCGTTGGAAACGGGCGCAGGCAGGGCGGGGGACGGCGGCGACGACGGCGACAGAGGGGGGGAGGAGGACTACCCGCCTTGGTCGGGTCGGACGAAAGGCTGGGGAAGGGAAGGGGGGGTTGCAAAGCCTGCTGCGCGCAGCTGGTTTCGGTCGCCCCGCCGAAAGGCCAGTCCTCGACGCGTAGCCGTTTTCGGCGCCAGGAGGCGTTTGGAAGATCGGAGATGCGAGCTGCTTGGCAATTCCCTTCTTCGTTGCGCCCCACGTTCGTCCAGCCCGCCTTGGCTGCAGGCCCGCATCGCTTCGACAAAACGAGGGGCACCCTGGTTCGCCCTTGCCTCTAAACACCCCCTCTTTGCCCCTCGTTGGCGGCCGGGCGTCGGCGCTAATCACCGGCGCCGCCCCGTTGATTTTCAATGTGGCGGGCGCCACTCCGCGATTCGCCAGAGCGGGGAAACTATGTCCTATGTCTTAACACGCGCGCCCTTTACGGAATTGGTAATCGCAAGCTGACTTCAACCAACAATGACTAACCACAGCACCAATAACCTGGGCCACGGAAGCCAAATTCAGCCACGCACCCAGGCGCCACGAATGACAGTTTTTCTGTCTCCCCACTCTGACGTAACGGGGGGTTCAAGTCAATCTCCTTGGTAAGGATTGCCAAGGCACTCCAAGCCTCCAGCTGTCCAGGTAGAGCGTGTTTCCATGCGTGAAGAGGCCGTTTTGTGCCGCGGATAACCAACAACAGCCAACAACGAACACCAACAAGACCAATCACCAGGGCCATGCAAGCCAACTTCCGCCACGCACCCAGGGGCCATACCGTTTCTGGCTTCCCCACCCTGACGTCGGTGGTCAGGTCAAGAACCTTGGCGAGGATTGAAAAGGCTTCGTCCAGTCCGAAGGAGCGCCACAGTCTTGGGGATTGCCCTTCAGGGGTAAGCGCTCTAAGTTTTCAGCTGTCCAGGCCGGACCTTTCTCCCTGCAGGAGCAAGACTGCATGCATCACCTTGGCGACAAACATTTGTTTGGTACCGCGATATTCAACAACAACAACAACAACAACGCCAACGACAACAACAACAGCAACAACCACAACAGCAACAATCATTTTCAGACCGTTCGGTTTTGTTTGC